TTTTTTTAATATCTTATATTATTACATTGTGATTTTAAGTACTTTTTATGTAATTTTTAAATCTAGAACAAATTAAAAGAAAAACAAGGAAAAATTTAAATGAAGAAAGTACTAAAATTTTCAAATAATCATATTTCTATATTAAAATGTTAAAAGCACATATATGCAAAAAATAATATACGGAAGACAAAATAATTTTTAGAATATATATTAAAGCTCTTTCTAATAATATCACATATTTATTCTATTTTTAAATATGACTCCTTCCGTATCAATTTATTTGAACATTTTTTTCTTTCACTTAAAAAAGAAAATTACTTCTTAATTTTAATTTTTTTACATAGCGTATCTATGATTATAAAATTAGAAATACTTTTTACTTAATATATGTGATATATTTTAAATTTAAGATTACAAAATTTAAAAATATTCTTCATATTTTACACTTCGTGCAAAAAAAAAAGATGAAACAATTAAAATGGAAGAAACAATATAAATAATTAATTAATTAATTAATAAATAATATTCAAAGATCCCTCGAGGATAGAAATTGGAAATAATAAAATATAAGAACAATGCAAGGAAAAATGAAATGGTGTACAAAAGTAATAATAGGGCCCACACAATTAAAGCCGTAAAAGAGGGAAAAAAGCAAATGGTTTTTTGTGTCCAACAAAAAGGAAGTACATTTATGAAGCAGGCAAGTACAATCATTTTTCAAGTTTGAAAAGTACGAAATACCATAAAGCAACCCTCTATTTTGATTTATTTACGCAAGTACCTTCATCGTCCGGCCCACGTGGAGGCTATTAACTGATTTCGTAGTATTGAGGTACTCAACACTTATGTAAAGTAAAGTATAGAATGACAAAAATAACCCTTAAATTGAGTGTATTTTCACGTAAGCACACGTGTTGACAGAGAAGAGTGTACTTATTCGCTCTTCTTATATAGTAATATATAGGTTCATGCCCTTAGATGTTATTTTATTACTTTAGCTGGCATCGACATTTTTGTAAATCTGATATCTACTTTGGAACATTTTATAATGTGGCATAGGCTGACAATTGAGATCATAAATTTAAAATAATAAAATTTAATTTATTATAGTACTAATATCATATATATATATATATATATACATACATATCATTTAAAAAATATATAAAAAGTATTATAAATTATAATAATTAACCGCTTTTTAAAAAAAAATCATATAACTAATTTGATTTACACTCCAAAATTCATAGGTGTCACATAATTTACACATTAATTCTTCATTACTTAATATATGTAATTATATCAATGACATATAAATTGAAATTAAAAAATACATATTTTATTTGAAAATCACGTAATAGTACTATAAGGTATAATAATTAACAACTCAACATATTTTAAAATTTTAGTTGACTCTCCGAATTCCATATGTCTCATGTAATTGAGACAGAGAAAAACATATATTGGTTTAAAATTAATAAAAATATTATAAATTATAATAAAGGTAAATAATTATATCAATGACATATAAATTGAAATTAAAAAATACATATTTTATTTGAAAATCACGTAATAGTACTATAAGGTATAATAATTAACAACTCAACATATTTTAAAATTTTAGTTGACTCTCCGAATTCCATATGTCTCATGTAATTGAGACAGAGAAAAACATATATTGGTTTAAAATTAATAAAAATATTATAAATTATAATAATTAACAACTTAAAATTTATAAAAAAAAACCTTTAAAATTTTTTAGTTGGCTCTCCAGATTCAATCGGTATTACAATAATTAAAACATAGAAATTAACATAAATTGGACTCCTGCTGACATTTATGTTTCCTTTTTCTAAATTTTCTCTTTTATACTTTATATAAATAATTTTTTTATGTAAAAAGTATTATAAATCATAATAATTAATAGCTTAAAATATTTCAAAACATATAAACAGTTTTTGTTAACTTTCAAAATTTCATCTATACCGCATAAATTGGGAGAAATATAGATATATAGATATTTTAAGTTGCTAATTATTGTGAGTTATAGTACGTTTTTATGTAATTTTCATATATATTACTCGGTCCTGATTTATGTGATACAAATGAAATTTCAAAAGTCAATGAATTTTTTATAAGTTTTTTTTTATATTAACTTGTTAATTATTGTGATTTCTAATATATTTACGTAAAACATACTCTAAATACAAATAATTAGCAACTTAAAATATATAAAAACATACTAAAAAATTGATTAACTTCAAATTTCATATGTACCACATAAATTAAAACAGAAACAGTAACATATATTGGGCCCCGTGCTGGCACGGGGTCCATATCTAGTATACATATAACTTAGTGTACATTAAAGGAAAACATACAATAATCAAAACTACTATATTTTTCACTCAACAAACAACATGTTTGGAACAATTTCTGAAGAGATTGAAGTTCATGTGCCAGCAAATGAAGCTTGGAAAATCTATGGCACTATTCAACTAGCACATATTGTAGTTAAAGAGCTTCCGAATATCATTCATAAGGTCGATATACTCGAAGGTGATGGTGGTGTTGGATCAGTCCTCAAAGTAACATTTCCACCAGGAACACCACTTTTGACATCTCACAAAGAGAAATTTGTTGTTATTGATGATGATAAGAGGGTGAAAATAGCTCAAGTTGTGGAAGGTGGACTTCTTGATCTTGGATTTACACTTTATAAGGTTAAGTTTGAAGTCATAGAGAAAGGTAAAGAAATATGTATCACAAAATCAACAATTGAGTATGAAGTCAAGGAAGAAGCAGTAGCTAATGCCTCATTTGTTAGTATCCAACCCTTTGTGGCCATAATGAATTTGGTTGCAAAGTATCTAACTCAAGGCAAAGATGGTCAAGCTTCCGCCTAATTAAGAGGTGGAACCAGGATTCAGAATAATATTATGAACATGAATGTGATCTTATTATATGTATGTATACTTAGTTCGAGCAAAAATCATATATACCCACAAAACTCGTCCTTGATCTGACTCTAAGTCTGACTTTTATGAAGAGTTGGTCAATGGTTCAAGCTTTGTTTGTACTTCAATGAAATGGAATTGGGCAATAAACATATTAGGTGAATTTTGTTTATTATTGATGCTACTATGATTTCTAGTATTTTGACAAGTTTGTGTTTCTTTATATTTAGGGGATTGGTCATGTACAAAATAACGAACCAGTCCAACCACAAGATAGCAAACTGGCCATGGAAGCAGATTTGAAGGATAAAAGTTACCCACAAGGTATCAATTTTTGTATGGTTACTAGCAAAGGAGGCCACTCTAACAGTGGACAACTTAATGAGCAGAGGTATGACACTGTGCTCAAGATGCTTCCTGTGTGAAGAAACAACTGAAACAGTTAACCATGTATTTCTGCATTGTCCATACACAACTCATTTGTGGAGAATCATCCTAAACCTCAAGGGTATAGCATGGACAATGCCAGGCAAGATAACAGAGGCTCTTAGCAGGTGGGAAGGGAACATGTTCACATGCTAAGGATAGGAGTTAGATGGAGAATTGTCCCAGCTTGTATATGGTGGACAATTTAGAAGGAGATGAAATCCAGATGTTTTGAGAGCTTAGAGAATGATGTGCAGAAGATCAAGTTGAACTTCATCTTACTGCTATGTTTTTGGTGTAATCAGATTTACTCTAATGATCCTATGTCTATCATAGATGTTCTAGATTCTTTATAGCTAGAGAGGGAAGACACTAGAGCTTTATTGTACATATGGTTTCAGTACTACCCAAGTACTGTTTTGATCCCTGATATGACACAAAGTTACTGATTTCAAAAAAAAAATAGTGAGCGCTCTTACCCTGGGAAATATGCAAGTATAGACGGAACTTATTACCTATTCCATTTAATTTTATGCGGTGGAGTTTCACTGGACACCGAATTTGAAAAAGGAAGGAACTTCTATTCTTAAACATGTCATGTCATGTCATATTTGTGGCTATAAAAGCATGTCATCAGAGATAAAATGGGAAATTTATAATTAAAGTATTTTCAATTGTGGAAAGGCGTTGTTCTTTTTTAAACATGCTAAAAAGAAAAAGCGTGCCACATAAAATGGAGTAACTTCTCTCTTCTTTTTTTCCGATTACTTTGGCCAGTGTAATTTTCTTTGCAGAGGGCATGTAAGGAATGCAAGATACAATTCTCATTGCCAGTACATCAGCCTTATAGGGTAAAGATAAATCCTCAGACAACTCTGTTGTGGAGAATAAGTGATGGAGAGTAGTATTGATATCAATTGTTGCTGCAGTATTCTTGTTCAGTTTGCCCTTTTTTCTTCTTCATTTTGTGTGCTTTATAGTTGGAAACCAGTAGTCTTGCTAAGCATTCCAAAATTTGTTCTTTCAAAATTGTTGTTCTTGTATACTCTCTTTTCTTTTTGGCGTGGCTTATATTGTTTGTATATCATATGTTACTCCTCAAGTCCATCATAAAGTACATTATTGCAAATCTTCTTGTGTATGAAGCAAACACACTAATAAGGGCATTAAAAAAAGAAATGAAGCAGAAAGTAGTACCTATAATCAGTTGCTTCGCTTTCAGAACTTCAGTTTCTGGCGTGACAGTGATGAACCTGTTCTGCAAACCCAAACATAAACAAAATTGACATCATATAATGTAGTGCCTGTCTGATATGTGCTACTTCTCAATATATTGCAGAAAGTTGTTATTTATTCTCAAACAGATAGAAAATACAATACATGAAGATAACAAATAGCATTGAAGTGATATTCCTGAACTTATAATGTGTACACATAAGGATAACTCACACTATTTATCATATCAAGAGAACAGTAATACCTGATTTCCAAGATAAAGAATAGTGGAAAAACAATCAAAATATCAAAAGTGATGTACCTCCTCGATAAGCCTGCCTGAAAGCCCAAGCAACGTTTTGATTGCAATTTTTCATCTTCCACAATTGCATTGGATTCAATTTCATTTGAAGTGATAAACCAAAAATGTATCAAAGTTATAACATAGCCGAATAAACCAACAGGAAAGCAATATTCACTTCTTGTTTTCCGCGTGAAGCTCTGGTATCATGTCAAGGATGGAAGGATTCTCACTTATATCCTTTACCAGTAACTCAGCTGTAGTTGCGTCAAATGAGAAGCCCCTTCCAGTCATTTCCTTCATTAAAGTTACCATTTCATTTATTTTCCTGCACCTAAGATATCCTCGCACGATAACATTGTAAGTGACATTGTTTGGAAAACAACCGTTCTCTTCTATTTCTCTAAGCATATCCTTAGCTTCATCTAACAACCCTTGTAGACAAAATCCAGTTATCATTGTAGTGTATGTTCTCACATTCACAAGCAATCCCATTGAGGAAAGCTTCTCAAAAATAGCGCGAGCTTTATTGAGTTCACCGTTTTTAGACAATCCATTAATGATAATATTGTAAGATTCAATATCAATATTTTCTTTGTTTTTTTCCAACTTATTAAAGAGTGACATAGCTTCTTCAACAAGTCCATACTTAAAATAACCATCAAGCAAAGTGTGATAAATGGATAAGTTAGGTACTGGCCCAGTAGATACCATCTCAACAAACAATTGGTTTGCAACACCAATTCTTCCAACTTCAAACAGGCCTTGCAAGATAGTATTGTAGGTAACAATATTAGGCTTTGATCCCTTTTGAGAAATTTCACAAAATAATTGCATGGCCTCGGCGAGTTTCTTTTTCTTACAGTATCCATTTATTAGTATGTTATAGGTAAAAATGTTAGGCTCAATGCCCTTATCTATCAAGATATCAAAAATTCTCCTAGCTCTATCTAGTTGACCACGCAAGCAATATCCATCCATTATCACATTGTAGGTGATTACATTAGGCTCAACACCCTTTTCAACCATGTGTTTCATTACTTCCTCGGCATCTTCAATTTTCCCCTCTTTGCATAGTCCATCTGTTAGTATGGTGAAGGTGCGCACATCTGGATACATATTAAGGTTCACCATCTCTGAGAACAAAGTTTTAACCTTTCCCACTGACCAAGCTTACACAAACCATCAATTATTGAATTATATGTGACTATGTTTGGAGGAATGTCTTTCTGCTTCATCTCGTTCAGAATGTTGATTGCAGCATCTAAGTTTCCATCTTTGCAAAGAGCATCTATAACAATGCTGTAGATATATATGTTGGGCTCAGTGTTACCTTGTTCCATTAACCGGAGCAAACTTAAAGTTTTCTGAGTATGACCCCTTTTGCTGAGCCCATTCATTACAGTTGCATACATGAATTCATTGGGCTCACAAATCTTGTCTCTCACCAATTTTTTGAACAATTCAACAGCATCTTTAACCTTATTTTCAGCAAAGATTCCCCTTACTAGAGTTGTAAAGGGAACATTATTAAACGGAATGCCATTCTTCAAGTAAATAGGTAACACCGAAAATCCAAGATCAGCATGATGCATCAGGCAATAACTATTAATCACACTATTCAAGATGAAATCACTAATTGGAATGCCCAATTTCAGCATTTGTCGGAAAAGAGAGAGGACAGCTGAGTAATGCTTCATACTTATCATAGTCTTAAACAATTTAGAGAAATCGACAACTGAAGGAAGAGGCTTCATTCTAACCATTTGACGGAATAGATTCACAGCATCATCTAAACACTCAAAACTGCAACTATTTAACCCAACTCTACCCTTTACCTTTACTTCACTACTGCGTGAATATGATGAAAAATAAGAATAGGAGATATGAAAGGAAGAGTTAGAGAGAATACCATTGCATTTCCGCAGAGACATTCTGCTCATCGCCATTGCTAAAGCAAATTTCTCTCACTGAGTTGCTCGATAATTTCAGTGTGACCTAATTTTGAAGGAATCTCTTTTAACACTTTGCTTGGATATAGTTGTTCATAAGTTATTATATTATATTGTATTGTACTGTATTGTTTTAATGTATATTGTGTTTGAATAGATTGTATCATTTGAGTTAAAAAACCTATAAGAAAGTAGTGTACGTGGTAGAACTTTATGAAATTGTCGGATAAAAAATGAAATAGGATAATTAAATAATAAATAAAAATAAACGTATAGTATCCTTTCCATTCATCTAATCCGTCAATCTCCACCCCTTGACCCCTATCAAGGGTGAGTTTATAGCCTAAATATAGGGTACCTGAACCCATGATCTCTTTGTAAAATTAAGTATTTTGTGGATATATTTTTTAAAATTGATATAATATACGTATGCTAAAAGAAGACTAAATAGTGTACATGATTGAATGTTTGAATTATCCGCCCAGAGGATCAGAGATCAATTCCCACTCCCCAACTCATTCCAACCCCATAATAGTTTTCGAGATAACACATTATTTGTTTTATGTCAAACGCAACTGTCAATATACTATTAAAAGCAAGACGTTTATGTGTCTTGAATCTTAAGAGATTTGATGTTGCTCCAAGAGCCCTTTTTGTTTGGCTAGTTGCCAAAAACAGGTTGGGACTAGTGACAAAGTCATAATTTTTACCAAGAGAAGTTAAAATATAAAAAGTAAAATTGTGTAGAAGTCAAGAGGTGTTGGCATATTTATACATAAAAGAAATATTTTTACCAAGCTATACAATTGTAATATTCAGACGAAGGAGTGTTAATTGACATCCCTCAAGTATATGTGGCTCTACCACTGGTTGTGGTTGTGACAATGGCCATGCTCAATTCTGAGCCCTGGCAACTTCTGAGCTAGCTAGCAGCTTACATGCTTCAAAACTTACTGAACAATCAGGCATCCAAAGGGATCGCACTGTCTCCAGCTTTGCAGCATTGGACAACAGAGCCTCATCGCCTAAGGGGCAGTCTCTAATCTCCAACTTGCGGAGGCTCTCACACCAGAGAGTATGTAGTGGAGGTCTAGATGGTTATCCCCCGGAAAAGCTAAAGAAAGCATCTCTAACTTCTTAGCATGGACCCTGATGTACTCAAACACACGGTCTGTAAGGAGGTCAGAAAGAGAGAGTTGCCACAATTCCTTGCAGTGTTGAATAATGGCCCCAAAATCAGCATCAAGTGGTTCAAGGGTTACAGGATTTTGAGGTTTGATAATACACAAACAAAATTGGATGATATTAGAATGGTTCCTAGCAATAGTAACCAAGGCGTCATTTGTCATTTGGCAGCAGAAGTATAAAACTGACTGAAGCTTAGGGCAGCTGTAGCTCTTGCTCTGTCAAGGATACATTTGTCCTGGAGCAAATGGACCAGAAGGAAACACCCTAAGCTCTTGAAGTTCCTTATGCAGTCTCCTCAAGACCGCTATCTTCAATGTAATCTAACACCTGTAGTCAGTGGCGGAGCCAGGATTTTTAACAAGGGGGTTCAAAATCTGAAAAAATAGACACACGAAGTAGCCTAAGGGGGTTCGACATCTACTATATATATCTAAAAAAAGATTTTAATCATGTATAAATAATATAATTTTACGCCGAAGGGGGTTCGGATGAACCCCCTCATTGAAAGGTGGCTCCGCCACTGCCTGCAGTCACGTCCATGTCAAGCAACGTTAAGTGTAAGCTGGACAACCAGTTAGGCAGAGAGATACATCAGAGCCACTAGACAGAGAAGAACACAAACTTACAGGTCCTTTGCCTGAATAATATCTCGTAATTTAAACAGCATGCGTGAAAAATAGTGAGTGCTCTTACCCTGGGAAATATGTAAGTATAGACGGAACTAATTACCTATTCCATTTAATTTTATGCGGTGGAGTTTCACTGGACACTGAGTTTGACAAAAGAAAGGAACTTCTAGTCTTAAACATGCCATGTCATATTTGTGGCTATAAAAGCATGTCATCAAAGATAAAATGGGAAATTTATAATTAAATTATTTTCAATTATGCAAAGGCGTTGTTCTTTTTTAAACATGCTAAAAAGAAAAGGAGTGCCACATAAAATGGAGTAGCTTCTCTTTCTTTTTCCGATTACATTGACCAGTGTAATTTTCTTTGCAGAGGGCATGTAAGGATTACGAGATACAATTCTCTTTGCCAGTACATCAGCCTTAGAGGGTCAAGATAAATCCTCAGACAACTCTGTTGTGGTGAATAAGTGATGGAGGGTTGTATTGATATCAATTGTTACTGCACTACTCTTGTTCAGTGTTCCCTATTTTCTTCTTCATTTTGTGTGCTTTATGGTTAAAAACCAGTAGTCTTGCTAGGTATTCCAAAATTTGTTCTTTCAAAATTGTTGTTCCTGTATAATCTCTTCTTTTTTTTTGGCGTGGCTTAAATTGTTACTCCTCAAGTCCATCATAAAGTACATTATTGCAAATCTTCTTGTGTATGAAGCAAATACACTAATAAGGGCATTAAAAAAAGAAATGAAGCAGAAAGTAGTACCTATCATCAGTTGCTTCGCTTTCAGAACTTCAGTTTCTGGCGTGACCGTGATGAACCTGTTCTGCAAACCCACACATAAACAAAATTGACATCATATAATGGAGTGCCTGTCTGAAATATGCTACTCCTCAATATATTGCAGGACATTGTTATTTATTCTCAAATAGATAGAAAATGACACTACATGTTGATAACAAATAGCATTGGATATGATATTCGTAAATTTATAATGTGTACACATAAGGGTAACTCACACTATTTCTCATATCAAGAGAACAGTAATATCTGATTTCCAAGATAAAAAATAGTGGAAAAACAATCAAAACATCAACAGTGATGTACCTCCTCGATAAGCCAGCCTGAAAGCCAAAGCAACATTTTGATTGCCATATTTCATCTTCCACAATTGCATTGGATTCAATTTCATTTGAGGTGATAAACAAAACTGTATCAAAGTTTAAAACATAGCCGAATAAACCAAGCGAACAACTTTTCACTTCTTGATTTCCGCATGAAGCTCTGGTAACATGTCAAGGATGGAAGGATTCTCACTTATTTCCTTTACCAGTAACTTAGCTGTAGTTGCGTCAAATGAGAAGCCCGTTCCAGTCATTTCATTCATAAAAGTTACCATTTCATTTATTTTCCTGCACCTAAGATACCCTTGCACAATAACATTGTAAGTGACATTGTTTGGAAGACAATTGTCCCCCTCCATTTTTCTAAGCATATCTTTAGCTTCATCTAACAACCCTTGTAGACAAAATCCAGTTATCATTGTATTGTATGTTCTCACATTCAGAATCAATCCCATTGAAGAAAGCTTCTGAAAAATAGCAAAAGCTTCATCGAGTTTACCGTTTTTACACAATCCATTAATGATAATATTGTAAGATCCAATATCAATATTTTTTTTCTTTCTTTCCAACTTATTAAAGAGTGACATAGCTTCTTCAACAAGTCCGTACTTAAAATAACCATCAAGCAAAGTGTTATGAGTGGATAAGTTAGGTACCGGTCCAGTAGATACCATCTCAACAAACAATTGTTTTGCAACACCAATTCTTCCAACTTCAAAAAGACCTTGCAAGATAGTATTGTAGGTAACAATATTAGGCTTTAATCCCTTTTGAGAAATTTCACAAAACAATTGCATGGCCTTGGCAATTTTCTTTTTCTTACAGTATCCATTTATTAGTATGGTATAGCTAAAAATGGTAGGCTCAATGCCCTTATCTATCAAGATATCAAAAATTCTCCTTGCTCTATCTGGTTGACCACGCAAACAATATCCATCCATTATCACATTGTAGGTGATTACATTAGGGTCGACATCCTTTTCAACCATTTGTTTCATTACTTCCTCGGCATCTTCAACTTTCCCGTCTTTGCATAGTCCATCTATTAGTATATTGAAGGTTCGCACATCTAGATAAATATTAAGGTTCACCATCTCATAGAACAAAGTCTTAACTTTTCCCCACTTACCAAACTTACACAAACTATCAATTATTGAATTATATGTGACTACATCGGGACAAATGTCTTTCTGCTTCATCTCATTCAGAAGGTTGATAGCATCATCTAAGTTTCCATCTTTGCAAAGGGAATCTATAACAATGTTGTAGTTAATTATTTTGGGTTTAGTGTTCCCTTGTTCCATTAACCGGAGCAAACTTAAAGTTTTCTGAGTATGACCCCTTTTACTGAGTCCATTCATGACTGTTGCATACATGACTTCATCAGGCTCACAAATCTTCTCTCTCACCAATTTTTTGAACAATTCAACTGCATCTTTAACCTTATTTTCAGCAAATAGTCCCCTTATTAGGGTGGTAAAGGTGACAACATCAAATGAAACGCCATTCTTCAAGTAAATGGGTAACACCAAAAATCCACAATCAGCACGATGCATCATGCAATAACTGTTAATCACACTAGTCAAAATGACTCCATCAATTTGGATACCCAATTTCTGCATTTCTCGAAAAAGAGAAAGGACAGCAGAGTAATGCTTCATACTTATCATATTCTTAAATAATTTAGAGAAATCAACAACTGAAGGAAGAGGCTTCATTCTAACCATTTGATTGAAGAGATTCACAGCATCATCTAAACACTTTAGTTTCTCAAAATTTAACCCAACTTTACTGCAGCGTGAAGAAGAAGAATAAGAATGTAAAATATGAAAGGAAGAGATAGAGAGAATACCATTACATTTCCGCAGAAAAATTCTCCTCATCTCCATTGCCATCTTCAATTTTCGGTGTTTTGTTCTTCTGTGTGACCTAATTTTGCCTACACATACTTTATACGGTGTTAAAATTATTGGGAAAATGCATAAGTAGCTCCAGCCTATGTCCAAAATCTCTGACACCTAACATTTACTAAGGTACTATTACCCCTGAACTTATTTTAAATATAATTTTCTATCCCTTTTCGGCCTACGTGGCACTCCTTAAAAAAATTATCAACACACGCTGGGCCCACAAGATAGTGCCACGTAGGTCGAAAAGGGATAAAAAATTATATATAAAATAAGTTCGAGGGTAATAGAAAAGATTAGGTGTGTCTCAGAAATTTTGGACATAAATTGGAGTGGTACTTATGCATTTTCCCTAAAATTATTAACAAAGTAGTTGTCACACCTTCTGTCTTATTAGTCAAAGATGTGACTTTCACAGGGGCGATTGCTCTTTGTTGTCAAATGGAAAGTTACCATGCTTCTACCCAAAGGTGATTAGTTATCAATGAAGACATGAATCGTCTTCTCGACACAAATTAGTATAATCTTCGATTTAATTGTGACAAAGATAAGACAATAAATGTTGTTCCCTCAATTTATTGGATGTGTCTTCCAGAATTTGAACAATTACGGTAAAACTTCTATAAATTAATATTGGGTAATATTTTCCTTCGGTCCCGACAGCGACTTGGGCCAATGGAAAAAATCACCAATTTCGATAAAATAATAAGATAATATATTTTCAGAAGACTCCTATATAAATATATGGTCTCATTATATCATAAATTAATAATTCTTTAAAAGTACAAATATATCTAAGACAATTTAGTGAAATATGATTCTATTGTATTTTGGTTTTTCTTAAAATTTAAATCTAATTGAAACTCATCTCTAACTTTTCCTATTGCATCCAAGAGCTCTGGTGTTGTCTTTTTGAATTGCACCATAAATTTGTGAAGAGTTCTAGATGCGATAAGTGTTTTCTTATGCGTAACTGGTTCCAAAGGTATAGTATCGTCTTCAACTTCATCATCAACATTGTTTTTTCCGATGGTATCTACAATTTCTTCGAAGCTCTGGACCTCTGAACGTGTATCACTTTCACCTGGATAATCCAACAGGTTATTGACATTCATTTTATTGTGATAACCGAGGTCATTAGTCATGACCTCAAGTTCATCAATGACGTTTTCACAAGTAGGTTCATTCAAATTCTCTGAGATTGCATCCCCTGAATAGATTTTACAGTGTCGAAAACAATTTGTTATCGTCTCTTGCTGAACATTTGTTGTCCAAACAGGGATTGCAAAATTGATAGCATCCAAAACATTGATCTTTGTTGTATCAATTTGTCTCACTTCATAGCCTTCTAATATCCTACGATAAAATCTGTTCAATAATACATCTTGAAAGCTCTTATTATCACAACATCACAAGGTTGAAATTAGTAAGATACAATGATTTTGATGTATTCGTTATACTTTATGCATAATATTTTTAAATGTGAAATCAATAAATATGACACATAAATTAGTAAGATACAATGATTTTGATATAATCAAAATTAACTTTCATCAAATCTCAAATCATTCTTTAAATTGATAAATTATAATAAAATTTCATGGTCCCACCTATATTAATTTATAGAGGTTTTACGGTATGTCTAAAACAAAAGTGGTCAATATAGAAATTTGTGGGTATACCATTTTCCATAGTTCATGGGTATGATTATATGAGCATTTTCTTATCGATTAAACAAAAAATTGAATCATTAAGAACAAAATATCGATAATAAATATCTTATAGATTTGGTTATTAATTTAAGGTATTGGCATTAAAAGTTAAAGGATTCTTTGTTTAATTTTAATTCTTTTTTTTGGAAGATTCGCTATAATAATGAAATTTTTTTTGCATATACGCACAAATCAGTCAATCATATCAGAATTTGTTAAATCAGACCAAATCGAATTACTAATGGGATGCCCTAATACGGTACAAAAATGTGTTTTAGCTAATGATCCAATCAAAGGAATAATTGGAACAAGGGTATCGAACTTCTTAATTGGATTATTGATTAAAAATGAATTTTCTAACATTGACTTCGTGCCATTGAATGATTTAGTAGCACACTTGAAAGATAGTCCATAAACCGAACCGTTAATTAGGGTAGACATAATATCAAAATTTGAACTGAACTAATTTAATTTTTTGATGTCGATTTTTCGCTTCAGCATCGGTTCTTTTCCTTGGATAACTCAATTCTTCGATCCGGTGTTCAATGCAAGGATCACGATTCCACGGTGCACCAAATAATCGAAGTTTCATTAAATAAAATCAAAAAAATATTTTATTTTTAAAATTATATTAATTATATATTTTGAGTTTTGATCCAACAGAATTAAATTTGGGCAATTTACATAAATGATATATTATATAACTTTATTTACGAATTATACATATCTTTTACTCTTGCATAGATCAGCCTTACTTTCGTACCACAAATAACATGGCCACTATCACTGTTTTTTATACAATTTTAATATCGATTTTTCACAGCTTCACCTCTTTTTTTCGGTAAATCACAACCACCACCAGACCACTGGTTATTTACATTTAATACGATTTTGATATAACCTTAATACAATTTTTTAAGAACTTCACCTAATATAACAAAAATATTTTTAATACAAATATATTATAAGTATTATATGTGAATTTCAAACATTTCGGTACTATTTAAATTAGTTTACATTGTTAGAAATGTATTATATTTGTTCTGGAATAATAACTATTTTTCTTAGTGATCTGAAACAATATACCTACAATATAATTTTAACCAGATATAAATAGTAATATTTTTCTCCAAAAAAAGTTCGGACGAACCTCAAACAATAAGCTGGCTCTGCCCATTGTCATGAGGTCTCTTGTCTCACTCTTAGTAACTCAATCGCGACAGGCCGATTAGCATCTGGTAATTGTTCGCTAGTATAGTGATTAGCACTTTTTAAGCTTCATATATAAAATTATAATCATGTAAATAGATATAACATTTATTTTAACATTAATTATTATTTTTAAATAATTTTATTCTTCTTATATATAATTTTATTAATTGACACGAGACATACATATAAAGCACGTATGCTAAGCTAGTTTTTTTTATGTACGTGCCAACTAAATGGAAATGAGGAAAATAATTAACACTGCAAAATCGTAGTTTAGGAGATAATTTAATACTCACATAATTTAATAGTGCAAGTTACAAGCTACTTATTAGGGATTGGCTTTATGTATTACATCTTATCTTAGTAGGTCCAACCATGCCATCACTTTTGAATAGGAGTCATAAAATAATGAGAAAATTATCTTCGAATCAAAAATTTGAATCGTGAATCAGTTATTAATATTTATATTAGTGTAGATATTTTACATCAGATAAAATTACAAAATATGGTTGTTCACTGAATTTTGAATGAACTCTCTTTTATATGTTACCATAGAAAGAAAACCATCATTCAAGCAAATCTCTATGGGGCTGATTTTTTATATTATATGTTAATATTACCATATTATAATTATTTATTTATCTTTAACAAGTTAACAACAATAACTAGCTTTATATTAGTAGGATCTTTGTAAAATGACCTTTTTTTTATAATAACCTTATCAAATATTAATTATTTTAGTTTACTGTATTCCCACTTTTATTGCTAGTCATTTATTTTCATAATAAATAAAATAATAAATGCTTTATTTTTTCAAAACCATATATAGAAATAGTATACGTTAACATTTTGATCAAATATTTAAATTTTTTATATATTACAATATTTTTTGTCAATTGGTAATTAAAATAATTTACATTGAAAGATCCGCGCATATTTGAATTTCATTAGACAAAAATTATTTGATGCATTGTCCTTCTTTAATTTTGAATTATTGAAACATAAATACTTTTTAAGATTTTAAATTTTAATAATTTTGTTGTGTTTACAACATTAGAAAATTAGGTTTTCCTTTTTGCATCCTTTTTTTTTTTTAACATCCAAATAAACGTATATCAATCAGTCTCTATGTAAGTTTAAAAAAATCTCGATACGAACGAGGCGTTTGTAGTGTGGTGTGATGGTACAATTGGCCGGCCATATGTGAACATCACATCTCTCATTCGGCAAGGCCTAATAATTATATGCTCCAAATATTATCATTTTTGTGTATATATATATACATATAACTTAGCGTACATTAAAGGAAAACATACAATAATCAAAACATACTCAAAACTACTATATTTTTCACTCAACCAACATGTTTGGAACAATTTCTGAAGAGATTGAAGTTCATGTGCCAGCAAATGAAGCTTGGAAAATCTATGGCACTATTCAACTAGCACATATTGTAGTTAAAGAGCTTCCGAATATCATTCATAAGGTCGATATACTCGAAGGTGATGGTGGTGTTGGATCAGTCCTCAAAGTAACATTTCCACCAGGAACACCACTTTTGACATCTCACAAAGAGAAATTTGTTGTTATTGATGATGATAAGAGGGTGAAAATAGCTCAAGTTGTGGAAGGTGGACTTCTTGATCTTGGATTTACACTTTATAAGGTTAAGTTTGAAGTCATAGAGAAAGGTAAAGAAACATGTATCACAAAATCAACAATTGAGTATGAAGTCAAGGAAGAAGCAATAGCTAATGCCTCATTTGTTAGTATCCAACCCTTTGTGGCCATAATGAATTTGGTTGCAAAGTATCTAACTCAAGGCAAAGATGGTCAAGCTTCCGCCTGATTGAGAGGTAGATCCAAGATTCAAAAGACTATGATGAACATGAATGTGATCTTATTATACGTATGTAAACTTAATTCGAGCAAAAATCATATATACCCACAAAACTCGTCCTTGATCTGACTCTAAGTCTGACTTTTATGAAGAGTTGGTCAATGTTTCAAGCTTTGTTTGTGTTTCAATGAAATGGAATTGGGCAATAAACATATTAGGTGAATTTTGTTTATTATTGATGCTACTATGATTTCTAGTATTTTGACAAGTTTGTGTTTCTTTCTATTCAGGGGATTGGTCAAGTACAATGTATTATGCAACACAATTGGTTTCATATTTATGTGTGTAGATTGTGTTAATCTATAGGAAGAACATACTCAAGTGGATATATCATAAGATTCGATTATCAGATGGTTAAATAGGGAAAAAGGTGAGTACAATAGCTTATGAACGATCAATACGCAATAATTTTAAATCTCATAAAATTTCACTCTACTAAATAGTCGATATCGAAATGGTGTAGATGAGAAAGATACTTGTGCACTCTTATCTTTCTTCTCATCTTCTATTGACTGAACTCAAATACCATGGAGGATTTGCCTTGAGTGAAATCCAATTCAATAACAATGGGAAATCCATTTTTAAAACCATCCAATTTATTAAAGTCCATTGATCTGACTAATCTCGATCCACACTGAATAGACCTACTATGAGGAAGTAAAGCGCCTATGTACCAAAATGATCTCTATTCATAGGATTCGAACCCAGCTGGTTAAGGATACAAGAATCTCAACCATCCCAATAAACCTTTGGTGGTGAATCCATTTCTCAATTATGATCTTCTTGAAGCAGTTTTCATTTCACCAACCTAGACACAAGCCTAAAGCTATATGCTTAATTCTAACTTAGTTTGCTACTTTCTTCTTCATTGATAAAAGTTAAAGAAAAACCATGATTTATCCCTATATTCTTCATTGATAAGATCTAAAAGAAGGGGGCCTTAGCCTTTATCAAAGACCATTCTCTTTCCCTATATTCTTCATTGAAAAGATCTAAAAGTAAGGGGGGCCTAGCCTTTCCCCAAACCATTCTTTGTCCCTATATTCTTCATTGACAAGATCTAAAAGTAAGAGGGGAGGGGAGGGGGGAGGGGGGAGGGGTTGGCCTTTTACCAAAACCACTCCTTTTCCCTATATTCTTGATTGATAAGATCTAAAATGCCTTAGCATGTGTGAATTAGGCACAAACAAAAGCATGGTAAATAAGGGAGGGTTGGTGAAGTGGTCCAGTATCTGCCAAATTTCGAACCGTGTGTCACTGACACTCCGAGGATCTTTCAAGTATCAAAAAAGGAGATAGCAGGGCCATTTTTCCACCAAGTTCTAACCATATCGCTAACACTCGACAATCTCTCGATTATCAAAAAAGAAGAGGAGCACTAGGCAGGAGCTTGCTGAATGGTTCATAGACTTTCAAGGTATATTACACAAATGATATCACAAAAGTTGTCAATGCATGTAACTTAAATCCATTTACTAATTACACCAATCTTTTAAAGGCACATACTAGAAGAGTACCATCAATGATTCTGACCTAAAGCTTAACTGAATAAAAATATTTCCAGTCATACTTTCCCTTCCACTCACATAGTCATACACTTCATCCAGAGGTCATGTAAATGATAGCAAAATCCTGTCAAAGAATGTGGTTAACCATGTTATATAGTAGCCATGACATGTTCTATCTGCAAAGGTAGCAAAACTTTAAGGGGTGATTTGGTTATACTTCTTGCAAAAATGAGAAGAGAACACTTTATTTGGAATTTTATGAAGATGGAATTGGAAAACAAGTTCGGAGCACTTTCCCAAATTTGGAATCCAAATCCAAGTTGGATTTGAAAATTATATAACCAAACACTGATTTTGAAATGAAGTGAAATTATTACAGGAAATAAGTGAACAATTCTCAAGGCACAAATCATCTTTACGTTATAATTCTCACACAACTAGAAAGTGAACCAAACAGCCACTTAGCACTTTCTGTGTGGAAGGAGAAGATTATACCACAAGCACAAAAGAACAAATCCTTATCCATTTATTCAGGAAAGAGAGGGGGACAGAGAGAGAAAAAAGTTTGAGGGAGCGGTAAACAAACCTTGGACTTAATTTGTGGTGGGAAGATATACTCTTATGGTGTCTTTCATGGCCAGTTTCCTCCTACACGTAGGACATTTTCCCTGAGCAGCAATGGATGCTTTTATGCATGCCTTGCAGAAAATGTGACCACATTTAGTTGACATCTCCTCAACTAATGGACCCATGCACACTGGACAGCTGAATGTAGGCTCTTTTGGTGGTGCTGGTATTGCACTTCTTAGATCAACTCTCTGGCATGGGGAACAAAATTAATTAGAATAACATTTTGAAACTTGAGATGGTAGATCGATAAAATATATTCTTTTAATAAAACAACAAGATATAGTACATGGACTGTACCTTTGGGCAGCTGTGTCCATCTAGGTCTATGTGAATATCACCATTGTTTGTTGCTTGATTTGTAGAGACTCTTCTACGCCTATCGCGACTGTTACCCCTAGACGCACGGTCCTCTACAATAGCCATGCACCAACCAAAGTCAATCACAAAGGGTAATGGAAGAAATAAATCAAGCCAAGCTTTCCATGCAAATGGACTAACCTAAAGTACATCAGGTCAAGCACTTTTGATGCAAAATTAATTAGAACACCATACATGCCATAGCTCAAATTCCCTGTGTATATTTTGTTATCTACACACTCCTCTTTCTCCCAACCACAAGAGGATTAGAAGAAAAACAAATACTCTAAAAGAAAATTCAGTTGATACTGGCGAAGTATTATGTCACTTTAAGATTCATTTTAATCCTGATTTTTCCTGTATCATTATCTTGATCTGCATTTATCTAACGACAAAAAGAAGAATTAATAAAATCCTCCATTCCATCAGAACAGACACTCCTTGAGTGCACAAATTTCGTACATTGAATTGGTATCCTCAAGGAAAGAGACGATTATCATAGGTCCAGGAAAGATCATCTTGCTCCACCCATAAAGAGAATACTATAATTACAATCTCATATCTACTTAACCATTAAAGAAGAAAAGGAGAGGTTACTCTAAGCAATTCTAGTCAGATAATTCCTATCTAGAGCAAATAAAAAAGTTCTATAGCTCTTGATTGGAAAAAAAAGAAGAAGTTTCAGCTAAACATGAACAAACAACCTGCAGGTGTAACAGGCTTAAGAGAAGAATAAATTACCAGAATCCACATCAAGCACAATAACCCGTCCTTGATTCCTTCTGGAGTTGTTCTTAGCCTAATGAAAAATGAGAAGATATCTAACATATTAGACTTGATGTGAAACATCAGCCATTATCGCATACATGATGTGCCACTAAACAATCTTAACGAAGGAAAATAGAATAGTATGGGAAGGTACATACTGCTGCAAACGCCCTAGGGGATGATATAATCACATCATCATCAAGTGACTCAACATCAATTGCTCCAGCTGTCAAAGAGGCACCTCTTAGTCCTTGTGGTGTATCCCCAGGCACAACATGAATAGGATCTCCTTCCTGATCTCTGTTCTCAGTTGGCGGTGCAGCATTTAGATCCACATTTAGCAAAGTATTTCTTCTCGATTGGGACCTTGTACGGCTAATTGGTTGTGAGCTACTATCTTGGGAACTCATGCTTTGCTCAGTCGTGATCTCAAGGGGTTAGCTTCGACAGTATGATTCCTAAGATGTCAATCTAAATTATATATCAAGAACAGGGAAAGACAGATAAATTTGAAGTTATGCTAGGGTTTATTTTCATCATAATTTGTTATCTCATAATGCAAGGGACAACAAGAACTAGCAGTAATTCAAGTATCTTAAATTTACTAATTACACTTCTGCAGTAACTCTTAACGATGACTTTTAACATACACCACGGCGAGAAGCAGAAATGAATAGACTTGCAAACTGCAAGTTGTATGCTTTCATGTATTTTAGCTAAGTAGAAGTTAAATCAGGCTGCAATCGACGGAAAGGAAAGCATGGACATCGAAAGTTTGATACCAGCGTGAGAGTATCTCTAGAACCCTTCACACTCCATCTGACAACCTTAGTCAAGCTCTACAGCTTAATACTAAGCTCAGTACAACAGAATCAAATAGCTTCTTCTTTTTATATAACTTTGAGTTTGAAAAGTTATCCGGCTTAACCATAGCCCATTCAAGTTCCAAATTTGAATCTTACACATAGTTAAAGAAGACCCAGACCACAAAATTAACTTCGACATTGTAACCTCAAACCTTGTTATGTCCTCTTTACTTCTGTATTTTCCTTTAAACTGATTTTGATGTGTGTTACTCAAGCTGAGGATTTTTCGGAAACAACCTCTCTACCTCCACAAGATACGGGTAAGGTCTATGTACACTCTACCCTCCCCAAACCCCACTTATGGGACTACACTGGGTTTGTTGTTGTTGTTGTTGTTGTTATATTGTAACCTCAAAACCAATATCAACAGTGTGAAAGCAGGAAGAGGACCCTCACTTCAAATCAAACTGTTCAAACAAAAACGCAGCAATTTGGAAAAATTTACCAGAAACCACACAACTTAAATATAGTGGGTTGACTATATAAATGCAGTGTATCCATTACACTCCATTCGTCCCTATTCAGAGGATTCAACACAATTTGACTAAATTTTAGATTGAATATTAAATCTACAGAAACTCTCATTTACTTTGTGATGCTCGAAAGAAACCACACAACTTATATCAACTCAACACGCTTCAATCCCAAACTAGTGTGTTGGCTATATAAATTCAGTGTATCCGTTCGACTGTTCCACTCTATTTCATTTTTTCGATAATCATATAGTCCAGACCGGCTTGCCCGCACATTCAATTACTTCCATAGGATACCTATCAACTCCCACCTGCATCAGGTACCAGGTACACAATTTGACTGTTTCTAGACTTAATGTCAAATCTATCGAAACCTTCATTTATTTTATGATGCTTGAAAAGAAACAGCACAACTTAAATCAACTCAACCCGCTTCAATCCCAAACTAGTGTGTTGGCTATATAAATTCAACATATCCATTCCACTCTATTATTTTTTTTAATAATCCTAGTGCCCAAGCCAAATTGCACCTACCTCGATTAATTCCACAAGATACCTATCAACTCCCACCAGCAACAGGTACACAATTTGACCATTTTTAGCCAAATGTCTAATCTACGGACCCCCCCCCCCTAGTTTAAGCTGCTCGAAAGTAGACCTAGCCACACATGACAGAATTGTAGCAACAACAACCAGTCCGCTATCTATCTATTCATACTTAATAACAACAATTTCAGTATATATATAACAAACAATGGAAGCAAAAAATTGAATTTTTCATCACAACACAAACATATACACGAAAATTTTGCAGATCACAATACAAGACTGTAAAATAAATCGATTAAACATTAAAAAAAAAAAAACGAAGAACACAAGACAAGTGAGTCGATAATTTCAAAGGAATTGAAGGATCCAAATGAGAATCGAACCTGAACTTGTTCAAAACTCCAAAAAATTTCAACAACACAAAAGACATAAATTAGGGTTTTAGAGAGAGAGAGAGGGGGGAGAGAGAGAGTGAATTTGAAATTCAAATACTGTCAAACACAAACTTTGTTACAAATAAGGGAATACCATTTTTAATTGCACCGTTTGCGGGCGGGCGGAATATAATTTGTAAGATATTATGATTCGAAAATATGTTTTTGTTTATTTAGATTTGGTATATTCTTTAGAAAAATAATGATAAATATGTATATTTTATTATTATAATTATATTAATCGATGTATAGTATTAATTCTTGAAAAATAATTTAGAAATAAGTAATTAAATAGAATATATTAGTAATGTTTGTATTAGTTATACTTGCATTAAATATACATAGAATTTTTTTATGTATTGTTTGGCTTGGAGTATTAAAAATTGTATGCATAGCATAAAAATACTAATTTATAAAAATATTCTCCACAATTATGGTGGAAAAGATATAAAAAGGGGTTTCAAGGGACTTTAACCATGTTAATGCATGTATTAAATCTTTTATCTTACTAATACCTAAAAATTCATGATATTAATAAATAGGAATACATACCTTAATACGCAATAGAGTGTATATATAGGTTGAAAACATGTACCAAATAAGGTACTATACATAGAGTTAATGCATGCATATTTCTCCTAATACACTCTATTAAGTAGGCGTTTGACCATACGATTTCACGCTGATTTCATCTCATGATATATCATGAAATGAACTCCCAAATTCTACAAAAATCATGATTTGAGAATTTTTCAAATCATGATATGAGTTTTTTCAAATACAAGAATTGACCCACAAATTTATATTTTATAAAAAAAAAATCCACATTTAATCTATATATCTACTAGCAAGTTATTTTATATGTAAATAAAATTTATAATTCAAATCATTACTTTTTAAACCATTTGTATCTCATATAACGATTATTTTCTCTAATATAAAACTATTTTTACTTCAAATCAATTCTTAATTTACTATTTATATTCACCAAATTCCTTATTTTTTATCAAATTTATTACTACTTCATTCAGAGCAATGTTTAATAATAATAAAAAATTCATCATTATATTGAGTAGACAAGACTAATTATTATGATATTAATTGCAAAAATAATTTCCTTAGCTACTAACAACTTGAACACTATAAATTATGTTCAATTTTTTCTTTTTTATTGAATTAAGGTTTGATGAATAAATATTGTATTTTTTAGAATAACTTTGTGATAATGTATAATGTGATTTTATAAACTTTTGTTTATTTGTTAAGATTGTATAAACAATTGGGACAAATTTGATAGTTTTACAACTTATAGAGTGTTTATGTTTATGAGAAAACATACAACATAAAAAGTCATGTCCAAACAAAACTTCAACTTCATCTCATAATTTCATTTCATGATTATATATATATGTTTCAAATCATGATTTCATATTACATGGCCAAAATCCAAATGGGTTCTAAGACTCCTTACTCCCTTTGTGTCAACTTATGTGATGTAGTGTAATGGATGCGAGTTTTTTAAAATATGATTTTTTTTTACAATATTCCAAAATTACCCTCAACATAAATTATTTTTTAAATAGAAAAGTGTATACTTCTGTACTTTTTTTGCCAAATATATGGGATCTAATATAGGTAAAATATTGACAGAATTATTAAATATTTGTCAAATAAAAAAATATGTCATTTATATAAATTAAAACAAAAGGAACATTCGTTTTTAAGGGTGGTACATATCCAAAATGTTAGATTTGTTTTGTGATTCGTACTGATTTTTTAAAGCATGTAAAATCAATTTCTTAAATCATTTTAATTACATCGATTTCTCTTCGATATCGATACGATTCGGTTGATTTTAATTTTTTTACTTTTAAAATATCACTTAAAATATACTACTATTAAAATATATTTTTTGCAAATATGTTCTTGAAGAATCACTTTAATTCTCCACCAAGAAGACACAAATGTTAAACTTTGTTGCCGTATGTGTTGGTTTTTTTAATAAAGAAATTAAGAAAATAACAGAGAAAAACTTTGAGAGAAAAAATACTGCAGTATTGTCCAAGGGAATTATTTTATTAATAATCCAAAGACTTGCATTTATAGATATAATTCCTAACTAAAAATAGAAAAATAAGATGCTAACTTATCAGTTTAATTCAAATAACAAATAAAAAGAACTAACTCCTAAATATAAGTCAAATAGGACTCTAATAACATAATTTAAAAACCCTAAAATAGCTAACTGTTTTATTTCTGCAATAAAATAAGCGATCGTTATCAAGTAAAGAACCCAACTTGTAAGTTGGGATCGATCCCACGAGGAAAATAGTTTAGACTTTACTTTAACTAACAATTATATTCAATTAGTCAAGTTATTTCCAGAAACAGGAAATAAAAGGGGGTTGTGCTTGTGTAAAACAAATAGCAAGAACTTAATAAGTAATCAATAATCGAACTCAACTTAGGTTGTTATCAAGATAAGAGAAATAACTAGGGTATACGTGTTCCCCACAATTTCATAACGCAGCAATCCTAGTAACAGCAATCCCTTTTCTAGTGTATTACATGCAAAGTGATAAGTTAGGTATCTCTAAATCCTTGGTCCGGCATCTAGAGAATTTCACCCCGCACCTTGGTCCGGCTACGTGTGTATAATTTACTAACCCTTACCTTTACCTCATATTAGACATCATAATCGATGTTTGGCTTAGTTATTACTTCGCACCAATCGACACTAGCCTATTAGATAGTATCACACTAAATCTATGTTGATAATTCTTTTCTTATTAACTACCTCTTTGGTCCGGCAAGTAGCAACAAGGCGAGTTCTAACGCATG